TTCTGAACGAGTATTGCTTCAACCGCATCGTTTCGTGGGAGTACGCGCAGGCGTTCGTGGAGGTGCAGCAGAAAGTCACCGCGATGGCGACCCTGTCACAGATCCTCCCTGCGTTCCTGTACGCCCGTGTCCTGGGGGCCCGGCGCTCCCACCTCGCTGCGTACGTCGACGAGTACACCGCCCTCCTGGAGCAGCAGTACTCGGGCCTGCTGAGCGGCAAGGACTGCTCGCCGAGCGAGAGCTGCGCGAGGCAGGCCGCCTTTATGGTCTGGGACGGCATGTACGCCGCCGGTGGTCTCTCCGTGCCCTCCGCCATCAACACCGGCCTCGGCGTGCTCTACTCCACCGACGCGAGCAATCCCTTCCTCGGCGGGGCCTACGCCAAGAGCCAGGCCGCGCAGTTCTACTGGGAGTCCCTCCGCTACTTCCCGCCGGTCGTCGGCTTCCCGCACTGGGAGGTGCCGCCGACCTGCGCTGGGCTGTCCGCCGAGCAGACCCTTGCGCTGCGGGCGCCCGAGGGGCGGTCGTCAGAGGGCGCAGAGATACCGACACCGCCGCTCGGCCCGGAGAGCTCTCGTCGCCACGGCTGGATTCTCCCGGTGAGGCTTCGGGCCGCGCACAGAACGCCCCCCCAGGTGTTTCTGGCTGGCCTCGACGGGCCCCCCCGAGTAGTCCCAGTTGACCTCAACTGGCCCCCCCCCCTGCAGCCCGGGGCGGTCTCAACACCCTGGCGCCGCCTCTGGCGGCGCTCCTGGGGCGCTCGGCGCCCAGGGTTGAGGTGTTGAAACCGCCCTGGGCTACTTGGGGGGCCTGTTGAGGCCAATTGCAATTCCTCGGGGCCAGCCGGGACTACCTGGGGGAGCTGTCTGAGCGCAACCCGAAGCCTTCCAGATCCTCCTCGAAGTTCTGGTCAGAGCGCATCCCGGGAGAGGTCTGGGGAGCAGCTGCATCGGTGCGTGTTCGCTGTTTCCCCAGGTCGAGGGCATGCCCCTTCGGCGCGGGCACCGCGACCGGCTACCCAGCCGTGAACCAGTACAAGGGAGGCGCGCGCGTGGTCCCGAATCTCGCGCTCGCCCAGCGCGACCCGCTGAAGTGGGGCCCCGACGCGGGGCAGTTCGTCCTGCGGGACCTCCAGACCTACGACCACAATTCGGTGGGCTTCGCGGAGATGGCCGTGAACGCGAAGGTCGCTAACGGGACAATGAACATGGTCTGTCCCGGGAAGAGTCTGGCCTTAGTGATTGGATCTATCTTTTTCGAGTTGTTCGACAGGACAGCCTGGAGGGCCTCTACGACGGCCATCAAGTTCAAAGGGGTGACTCCTTTCGTGGATAGTTTCGATCTCATCTCTGGGTCAAACTGTTTTCGATTTCCACCATTGGTTGTAGCATTCCTCGTCTGTGTAAGCGGGAACGGAGTGAGTCAATGATACGTTACGCCTTGTGGACGCCACGTTGAAGACTGTAGAAGGAGCAGCGACTATATCAGATGTGTGCCAATGGAACGTAAACTATTGATTTGCACAGCGGAAGGAGCCCTTGAGAGGCTACCCTGCAATAGTATTGTTGTATTTTCTTTTGCTGGAAGCAAAATGGCGGATACGTGTTGCGACACGGCACAAAGACAGAGCACGACGTCCGCCTCTTGTTGCAGTGTCCCATGCGCTCTGTCGGAATCCCCACGTGGCGGCGGGGCCTTTTTTTCTGCTGGGCAAACGAGTATCTCGCAGTGTCTGAGCGCGTGCGCGGCTCTTCGTGCCTGGTGACGGGCACGATTCGTTGGCACGACTGCGCGGATCTCCTCGGTCGGCGCTGCGCCCCCCTGGCGGTGCGAACCCCTTGGCGGCGCCTCCGGCGCCACCCCTGGCGCGTTCCTCGCGCCAGGGAGGGGGGAAGGTCCAGCGCCGAGCCAGGAAGAAACCGCGCAGACATCCGAAAGTTGATGTTTGTGGCGTTTCCTTGTTTTTCTGAAGACGATGTGTGATCCTACGTGCGATGTGCAGCCCTTTCCCATAGTCTTCTCTCCTACCTGCTCCCTTCTCCATTCCTCTACCCTCTACCTGCTCCCTTCTCAATTTTTTCTCCATTCGTCCCTTCTCCCGACCTTTCTGCGGGGCCAGCAGCAGATGATATGCTGACCTTGGCCTTTGAAGCCCATCGGAGTTGTGTTCTTGCTGATGGTCCGACCACCCATTGTGTGGTCCGTCATGGAAGCCTCAGAGGGTCACACAAGTCCTTCCAGTTTGGGGGATGTCGTCCGGATATCGTCGGATGTGGTCGACATCTGGACGAAATCTGGACGAAAAGGTGAAGAGGGGTAGTCGAAATCTGGACGAAATTTGGTCAACATCACGTTTATGACATCCCCGTGGACGTCCAAAGAAGCTCCCATGACAGCTCACCCAACAGCGCATCCACGCCCTCGTAGAGGATGTGTTGCTCTGGCGGCCGAGGCGACTGGCATCTCTCCCCGCCGCCGCCGCCGAGGCACAAAAAGCAAAAATCTCTGGCCCACCCGAACGCTCAACGCATCATCGCGAGCATCGCGAGGCAGCTGAGAAGAAGTATAGGGGGGGTGGGGGCCAAGATGGGCAGAGGGGCGCATGTGATTCAATGCCACTGGGGCCCTCTGTGGAGCTCCCCATAAGGCCACGAGACGCGTGAGGTGTGTGTGTGTGTGCGTGTGTGTGTGTGTGTGTGTGTGTGTGTGTGTGTGTGTGTGCGTCAGAATGGGCGGAGGGGCGCATGTGCTTCCTGCTACTGGGGCCCTCTGTGGAGCTCCCCATGGGGCCACGAGACGTGTGAGGGGTGTGCCAAAATGGGCGGGGGGGCGCATGTGATTCAATGCCACCGGGGACCCTCGGCGAGGCCGCCGCCCGCACCGCCAAGGCACAAACGGACAAAGTAGACCTGGCCTACCCGAATGTTCAACACAGCAGCCACTATTCCAAATCCCGCCTGGGTAGCAGACAGCCTCCTGCTCCTCTTCATGGCACGTGCCCGGCCCCCGTCTGCCGATGTGGGAGGCGCCGAATGTTCAATGTGAGAAGCACACTCGAGCCGGCGGGCAGCGTTGCTTTCATAGCAGCGGCAGGCTTCATGCGAGACAACGTCAAAGACGTCAATTCCAAGCTGCCCACCCAGGTTATCGAGGGAGCGCATATGTGTTGCTTGCCAAGCCCTTCGTCGAGGAAGCATCGGCAATGTCCAGCACAAGCTGGTGCGCGAGTACGCGTGCTCGAGCACTGCAGCTGCGCTAGAATGAGATGTACTAAGTGTGTCCGTTGTGCCTGGCTCTGCCGCCGCTGGGTCCAGAAATGGGCTGACTCACAGAGGTGCACTTCCGCAGCCGTGCAGCGAGGGCCGGCCACCCGCACTGCGGTGTCGCCGTCATCGTGGCCGAAGTCTTGGGATACTGGCCATGGCCACGGCACAGTGTGACCTTCTCTGCGCGTGGAGACAATTCTCGGGTTTGGAGGATGGGGCTGGGAGAAGTGGGGATATCATTGCCCGTAGGCAGCCGAATCTGGATGCTGTTGCTCAAACTCGTCATCCTCCCAACCCTTTCGTCCCAGCACGAGAACTTTTCTCCCCATCTGCAAGCGCACGTTTGACATGTTAGCGCGGCGTTGACGCGTAGGTAGGCCCCACGTCCCAGCCAACCATGTCAACACAGGACATGAGTTTGGATCTAACGGCCAACATGTTGATTACTACATGATCTGAGTTGCTGTGTTGGGGTACATGTCCAAAACCGATAACCGCACGGCCGCATACATTCCTGTACTATGCTGTAGCCGCCTGGGCCTATGGTGACCATGATAAGAGTGTGCACGTCTGAGGTTCGTGGGTGGCGAGCTCATGCAGGCTTTCGCCAAAACCCTCGGGCGAGGTTTGTTCACGTCGCGCACATGTTTGGGACCTCGTCCTCTTCTCGGCCGCGCGAGATGACGACGACGACGACGACGACGACGACGACGACGACGACGACGACGACGACGACGACGACGCCGCTACCCAGGGGCAGGCCGCGGCCGCCGCCGCCGCCAGGGGGCCCAAAGCGGCACGGGCCCGCGGAGCGCGCGGGGGCGTCCCCCCGTCGCTGCCCGCGGAAGAGCCTCGCTGGGACGCCCCCCCCTCGGCCTCTCGGGGCAGCCGTGGGGCCGGGGGCGACGGTGCAATGAAGTGGTGGGGGGGCGGCGGAGGGAGGGGAGAGGAAGAGAAGGGCAAGGTCGGAAAGGAGGGAGGGGGAGCGCAGGGACGCTGAGGATGATGATGATGATGATGATGAGGAGGAGGAGGAGGAGGAGGAGGAGGAGGAGGAGGGGAGGAGGAGGAGGAGGGGAGGAGGAGGAGGAGGACGAGGAGGAGGTGGGAGAGCAGGAGGAGGAGGAGCGGAGGCGGAGGAGCAGGAGCATGAGGAGGAGGAGGAGGAGGCGGAGGAGGAGGGGAGGGGGAGGAGGAGGAGGAGGAGGAGAGGAGGAGGCGGAGGAGGAGAAGGAGCAGGAGGAGGGGAGGAGGAGGAATAAGAGGAGGAGCAACAGGTGGAGGAGGATGAGGAGGAGGAGGAAGAAGAAGAGGTGGAGGAGGAAAGGTTGTAGTAGTAGTAGTAGTAGTAGTAGTAGTAGTAGTAGTTAGTAGTAGTAGTGTAGTAGTAGTAGTAGTTGTAGTAGTGTAGTAGTAGTTGTAGTAGTAGTAGTAGTAGTAGTAGTAGTAGTAGTTGTAGTGTAGTAGTAAGTAGTAGTAGTAGCAGCAGCAGCAGTAGTAGTAGGAGTAGTAGTAGTCGTCGTCGTCGTCGTCATCGTCGTCGTAGTAGTGGTAGTGGTAGTGGTAGTGGTAGTGGTAGTAGTAGTAGTAGTAGTAGTAGTAGTAGTAGTAGTAGTAGTAGTAGTAGTAGTCGTAGTAGTAGTAGTAGTAGTAGTAGTCGTAGTCGTAGTCGTAGTAGGAGTAGGAGTAGGAGTAGGAGTAGGAGTAGTAGTAGTAGTAGTAGTAGTAGTAGTAGTAGCGGTAGTAGTAGTAGTAGTAGTAGTAGTAGTCGTCGCCGAAGTAGTCGCCGAAGTAGTCGTAGCAGTCGCAGTAGTTGTAGTAGTAGTGGTAGTAGTAGTAGTAGTAGTCGTAGTAGTAGTAGTAGTAGTAGTAGTAGTAGTAGTAGAAGTAGAAGTATTAGTAGTAGTAGTAGTAGTAGTAGTCGTCGTCGTCGTCGTCGTCGTCGTCGTCGTCGTCGTCGTCGTATCAGTAGCAGTAGCAGTAGTATCAGTATTATTAGTATTATTCCCCTATATCCTAAGATGGGGTCCTTGTTATTACTTGGACGCCTCCTGCTCCCTCTCCTTCTCCCTCCTCCTCTTTCCTCTTCCCCTCCTGTCGGACTTACTCATACTCAGACTTGCTCATACTCAGACTTACTCATACACAGACTTACTCATACTCAGACATCCTTCGCTTGGAGAGCAGATTGTGAGGATGTCTCAGGCGGGGCGCTGGTTTCAGCACCCCTAAGGGGAGCCGCCAGGGGTGGTTGCACGGGCTCGTTCGCTGCCATTGTGTGGGGATGTCTCAGGCGGTTTGCTTGATTCTGGGCTCAACATCCTTCGCTTGGAGAGCAGATTGTGAGGATGTCTCAAGCGGGGCGCTGGTTTCAGCACCCCTAAGGGGAGCCGCCAAGGGTGGTTGCACGGGCTCGTTCGCGGCCATTTTGTGGGGATGTCTCAGGCGGTTTGCTTGTTTCTGGGTTGAACATCCTTCGCTTGGAGAGCAGATTGTGAGGATGTCTCAGGCGGGGCGCTGGTTTCAGCACCCCTAAGGGGAGCCGCCAGGGGTGGTTGCACGGGCTCGTTCGCGGCCATTGTGTGGGGATGTCTCAGGCGGTTTGCTTGTTTCTGGGCTCAACATCCTTCGCTTGGAGAGCAGATTGTGAGGATGTCTCAGGCGGGGCGCTGGTTTCAGCACCCCTAAGGGGAGCCGCCAGGGGTGGTTGCACGGGCTCGTTCGCGGCCATTTTGTGGGGATGTCTCAGGCGGTTTGCTTGTTTCTGGGCCCAACATCCTTCGCTTGGAGAGCAGATTGTGAGGATGTCTCAGGCGGGGCGCTGGTTTCAGCACCCCTAAGGGGAGCCGCCAGGGGTGGTTGCACGGGCTCGTTCGCGGCCATTTTGTGGGGATGTCTCCGGCGGTTTGCTTGTTTCCGGGCTCAACATCCTTCGCTTGGAGAGCAGATTGTGAGGATGTCTCAGGCGGGGCGCTGGTTTCAGCACCCCTAAGGGGAGCCGCCAGGGGTGGTTGCACGGGCTCGTTCGCGGCCATTTTGTGGGGATGTCTCAGGCTGTTTGCTTGTTTCTGGGCTCAACATCCTTCGCTTGGAGAGCATTCAAGATGCTCGCATTCAACCATACTCAAAGCTCACTCTGACTCATACGCAATCACTCGCATTAGGGGTCACTCGTCTTCGTCGGCCCTGTCGCCCACGTGGACGCGCTATTGTAGTCGACCGCTCATGAACAGACGCTCACCACGGCATGGCATAAATTCCCCATATCCTAGGATGGGGTTCTTGTTGTTACTTGGACGCCTCCTACTCCCTCTCCTTCTCCCTCCTCCTCTTTCCTCCTCCCCTCCTGTCGGACTTACTCATACTCAGACTTACTCATAATCAGACTTACTCATACACAGACTTACTCATACTCAGACTTACTCATACTCAGACCTAGTCATACTCAGACTTACTCACACTCAGACATACTCATACACAGACTTACTCATACACAGACTTACTCACACCCAGACGTACTCATACACAGACTCACTCATACCCAGACTTACTCATACACAGTATTAGTCATACTCAGACTTACTCATACCCAGACGTACACATACACAGACTTTCTCATACACAGACCTACTCATACCCAGACTTACTCATACACAGACTTACTCATACACAGACTTACTCATACTCAGGCATACTCATACTCAGACCTACTCATACTCAGACTTACTCAACACACATCAGATTTGGAGGATGTCTCAAGCGGGGCGCTGGTTTCAGCACCCCTAAGGGGAGCCGCCAGGGGTGTTGCACGGGCTCGTTCGCGGCCATTTTGTGGGGATGTCTCAGGCGGTTTGCCTGTTTCTGGGCTCAACATCCTTCGCTTGGAGAGCAGATTGTGAGGATGTCTCAGGCGGGGCGCTGGTTTCAGCACCCCTAAGGGGAGCCGCCAGGGGTGGTTGCACGGGCTCGTTCGCGGCCATTTTGTGGGGATGTCTCAGGCGGTTTGCTTGTTTCTGGCCCAACATCCTTCGCTTGGAGAGCAGATTTGAGGATGTCTCAGGCGGGGCGCTGGTTTCAGCACCCCTAAGGGGAGCCGCCAGGGGTGGTTGCACGGGCTCGTTCGCGGCCATTTTGTGGGGATGTCTCAGGCGGTTTGCTTGTTTCTGGGCCCAACATCCTTCGCTTGGAGAGCAGATTGTGAGGATGTCTCAGGCGGGGCGCTGGTTTCAGCACC